TAAATTTTTTAATCGTACAATTGGAAGTTGAATTCCTTGGCTAAAATCTCTTGAGATTGATCATGTATTTTCGAAAATTATTGCCCTGTACAACACCCTAACTCAGAGACTACTGAAAAATGAAAAAAGGAACATTGATGCGGTCCTTGATTTTCAAACTTCGACATGTTTATATTTTCCAAGTAACTCTTCTAGAAGAGTTTTTCTAGGGGAACCTGGCAAGAAAAGCTTTTTGGTAAATGCACCTTACGAGCCTGTTCCCATGGATCTACAAAAGCCAATCAATCTACACAACTTTATCGAATCTCATAAGGAGCAGCTCCAGAAGTAGTTACAGGATTTGAGTGTTCTTTGCCAAAGTTGTAATAGATTCTTAAGAGATGGTCGTGTAGAAATTTACGGTGCTCCCAAATATTCAACGCAAGTATTTTTGTATGGACAAGGACAATACAAAATCGATGCTAGCGAATATGAAGTCCTTATCTGGATTATGGTAGGGCCTTGCTTTTCTCAATGTTCAGCTTACATCTGCATTTATAGGTTGATTCAGAAGCTGCTCTTGAGGGACCAAATGATGTAAGTCGCTTGATGTCATCATCGATGACAATTTGCCCTCCTCAATCAAAGTGGGTTTCTTATTTGCGGATTCAAGATGCAGTAATAGTCTTGAGAAAAGAAATGTTGTTTAGGCACCATTTGGAAGTCAAACAAGGCCAGGCCATCACCATTCAAATGATGCCAAAATTGTAATATAACCAATTTCACTCATTCCTCACTGTGATACTTACGTGAACTTAGTTATTGCTCCTGCATTGTCTTTTTGGATGTTTCGAATATCTCATAAATAAATTTTTTACCGCTCCACAAACTGTTTTGCAATGTTAGCAGCAATGTTTTAACAATAAGAGAATGTATAAAATATTACAAATTGCGACTAGAAGCATGATTGAAAATACTACTGCAAATTATTCAAAGTTGTTACGTAACCTTGAATCTTGCAACCATTTTTATGTGATTTTGACACTTCTCAATACTGTATTCAGCTTATTGGCACCGAGATTAACCATGGACAAAAAGATGGAAGAAATTTTATAAGAGTTTAAAGATTGATTTACGTCTATAAAGATTGCAAGGTCAATTTAACCCCTACGGAATTTGAGGTGATTAGGACAGTCTTTAGTAACAACTTGTCCTTTATTTCTAAAAAAATTTTCGCTTTGGCGACTGCACAGAGTTCTAAATACTTGACTACTGTTTGATCGTCGCTAAATCCTCTATTCCCAAATTTTTCACGATCTCAGCAATTTATTCGTTAGTTTGAATATCTTCCCGCTTGTAAACGGACCTGGTATTTTTAGCGATTACATTGAGCTTACCGCTTGAAGATGATGATGGCTATAGCGCTGCTATTGAGATACTCTTTTTATTATATGGGATAAACGCACTGAATGATCCTATCAATAGGTTCTAGAGGAATTACGCAATACCAATACTACGCGTCAGCGCTAACCACATAAAGCTTTCTACCTTACTAATATTACCAAAAGTGTGTGGAAGGAAAGAAGCACAGATCTTAAGTAAGAACTTATGTTCAGAGTTGCCCCTGAAAACAAGAATGGCTCCGAAAAGATTCAAAAATGACGGGCATCTTCTGCTTTTATGTTTTTGAGGGAAAATAGATAAGAAAAGCGAAGTCGGAACATCAACAGATCAGCAATTACCGTACCATTTATACAAAATGCGAAAGCACAGTGGCGAACTTATGACAGAAACTCCTGCTACGGAACCTGTCCAAAACAACCATCATACCTATCGTTGAAGCAGTCGAAATTTTTTTC